ATAACAAGGGTTCAACACCCTTTAGCCTCTAGACAACCACTTTGAAGTGAAAGTGTCTTGGTGGTGGGCAGTCTGTCTCCTGCAATCACAGTCGCCTCAGCTCAGTCGATTCAGATATATTTCTATATAAAAGCAAGGTTGTTGAGTGTCTTTCTCATTTTGAAGTTAAACTTTTATCCTGCAGCAATGGCGTCAACATTTGTAGAGAAATTTCTGTCTCTGATCTATGAGATTCTGGCTGGACTGTGAATGTGTGTAGATAATGTGTGTAGAAAGCAACAGGTTTGGTTTTTCACCAGCTACCAACTTGACTGCATTCATCCACCTAATTGCAGACTCACTCCTTTTTACTGCCAACAATTTCAAAGGCAACAACACTGCAAGTTTATTGAACATGGTCAAGTTATTTTGGTCATGCCAAAGTCTCCAGCAACCATTTTCTCTAGTGTGACTGTACCATTAGGGAGCTGGCAGGGTAAAGGCTGTTTCATGTCTGGTCTGACAGCATCTGAGATGTAAGGTGTGACCGCCATGTTTGATTTTTGGAGCCAGAAGTCAACATATTCCCATGATGCACTGAGCATTTCTATATGTAATATTTTCCCAGCCTCATGCTGTACAGATTTGAATATGGCAGAAATTAATTACTCACCTTCCCATTTTCCGTTTCATAGACTTCTTTGATCCTTTGCCTCTGCTCGTTGCTTCGCTTTACCAGGACTGCAATGATCGCATCCTCATTCACTCCTGTTGGGATGACAAGTTACATTTTATTGTAAGCACCACAAAATGATAAAATCATCCAAGCCAAAAGAAGCAAACTACCTCACACCCAATTCAAAATTGCAATAAACATTCGTTTTTTCCGACCTGTGTTTCAGCTTTAAACTTCATATCGTCTAAATTAAAACAAACATAACGTGTATAATACATTAAAACGAGAGAGTGCACACGCACCTTTACTTTCAATGGCACGCCGAAGAATTGCAGTGTCGTCGCTCGCATTGAAGTTTGGATATGGAGTGACTGTTCCATAATAAATAGGTTTATCCTTGTCATTCACCTAAAAGATCAGCCAAAATACAGACTTTAAAGAACTTTAAAAAGTTTATTCGCCAGCCAGTAAAATTCATATGAAATTCAAATACTCAAGTAAGCAGACTTGGGTGCAATATCCTCACAATATGACTCACTTTGACAGTGTCATCATCGGAGTTTCGGGAGAAAATGTCCTTCAAACGATCGAAGAATGGCATTTTTGCTTGGATGAGAGACTCAAAAACTGAAACAAAACTGTAAAGAGAAAAGAGTAGAGGGTAAAGGTATGAAATTTAGCTCTGCAACCACCCTGACACTTCCTTTTAATCTCATTCTGTTTAGTTTCTGTGATTGTTAGCAGCAGGTGTGTCACAGGGAGGAGCCACAAAAACTGCAACTCATCACAGAGATCACACTCTCCACAATGCTCTACCACAGACATACATACTCTGTTTTAGTCACTGTGTGTTTTTAGCCACTTGGCAAATATCTGTTCTTCTTTTACAGTATTTCTGTAATTGCCATCTAACTCCTGAACTCTGTTGCTGTCATTTCCGTCCTCACTCTGTGGCTAAACTGTCCTTCTCATTATAACGTTTGTCATTAAGTTATCTTTTTCCCTTTATTTATCCTGACTCACCTTGAATTCCTCGTAACAATAAGAAAATGGGAGTTCAAGTGTTTACATATCCAGCAAGAAACCCTCACCTGTGCTGCTGAAGACCGTCCTGCACTCTAGCTTGTAGCTACTGCACTGTGGAGCTCACTCTGCGGCGTCTCCACCCATCACTGTGCATTTTCACCTGCAGAGGTTCAGCCAATCATGTCATACCTCTCAAATTCTTTTGAGGCGAAAGATTCATATGCCTCTGGGACTGGTTGGACAACTTTTCAATTCAGACTATTCTGTATGTGTTACACTTTAATCAAACCACTTAGTTGAAAACAGTCACACAGATTTTTTTGGACAATTATACCTTTAACACAGCCAAGTTAAAGGTATAATTGTCCAAAAAAAATCAGAATGAATCTCAACATTGTTGATACCAATCAAGGAATACTGTCAGTGTAGTCTACATGAAAATGCTACTTAACCATACCTTTGTGGCACTCCCTTAATTCTTGCTTGAGTTTGGCGCCTTGAGTTGCAGTGCAGGTAATGTAGGGAACAGATTTCGAAAGAGAAGCATGTATATTAAAAACACTGCATTTGTTTCTGCTGCATTCATTTTAATGGAATGGTTGTTAGAGGAGGCCTAACCACAACTATATACTTTGCTCTTAATTGTTTCTTGTTGGTTAATTTTCTTTCACTTGGTGGAGCTCAGTGGGGGGGGGGGGGGTTCTCTGTGGTATCAGAAGGTTACCCTGCTGCTATAGATATAGTTTCTATATCAATAAATCTGTTTTTCCTACATGATATTATAAAATTAGAGAAAAGTAACAATTAGAGAAAAGTAACAAAGTAAAAAGCCAAACAAACTCTGCTGCCAGTAGTAGGGGAAAATTGAACGGCAAGTATGGGAATGTGCTGTAAGGAATAAGAATAATAACATACTATATAGAAACATATATAAAAGCAGGTGACCTGTTGTTAAGGTGTTTTTGAGCGGCTGGTGTTTTTCCGTGTCCTCCTGTGTTTCCCTGTAAACCTTATTAAACTAAATTAACGCAGTGTACTGTAACTCAGGACATGGTATTACTATAGTACATCCATACATAGAAAACATATTACAGTATTAAAACTAGAGAATTACAGTAATGCAATGTATCATCAGGTCATGGTATTTCTAGGTTAACATATTGTAAAATACAACATTGCTGCCAGTAGCCTGATGTAAAAGTGTAAGAAATACAGGAATCAGCTGTAATTTAGGCCATGTTTTGACATCAAAAAATGTAACAGATAGAGATACAGATAAAAATAGATATGGTAATATATTGTAATTAATATGTCATGTTTTCAGTATTACAGACTACTATAACAGATTAGAGATTATTACAGTGTTACGGCCAGGCAGCCGGTGTCTTTGCGAAACTGGCCCAAAAAGCAGACACAGAAGAGAGGAAACTAAGTATAACAAAAAGCAACCTGTTTATTAGGCTGGATACATGAACACAAAACAAGGCAGGGGCATAACCAAACTAAACTAAATTGGGGAAAGCTAAACTAAACATGAAAACTAGAAAGTGAAAATGAGAACATGAAATTGAACAGGTACATGCAAACTTTAGTGTGAAATCATCTAGACATGAACAGTAACTACAAAAAATCCTGAAACCTGACCTGAGACGAAGTGAGAAGGACATACTGCCTTCCTCTTCCCGCTTCACCACACCCCACCACACATGCAGAGCCTTCGGGTAAAGGTGTGTCACCAAGGTGCAGGGGAGGCATTCTTCCTCTGTCCCCTTCTGGCCACCTGTGCCTCAATTTTATTCCACAACTTAGACATCCACATTACTCAATCTCTCATAACACATACATATAGGACCTTGGGGTGGGTATGCTATACAACATCCAGAGGACCGTCTGCGTGTTCAAACTCACCTCTGGCGCCTCTGCCCACCTCTCAATTTTAAATGCATGTAGACATTGAGGGTTCTCGGGAGGGGCTGTGGAATGTGGAATGGTTGCCCCTCTGATGGTCCTCCTTGGGCTCTTGCGCTCTGGGGGCCCATGCCTGCTTCATGCCCCCCAGGGCTATGGCTGCCCACCGTCTAGCAGATCGTTACATCGAGAAACCTTTTGAATACAGGCGCGCTCACACACACAGGTGCAGATATGGGTGCTCATAGGCGCAACCTATATCTTTCTTGGCTCCTACCTCAAAGCACATTGTGCGCTGTCCGTTTTGCATGCTGCACAATAACGTTCATTATTTCGCATTTACTGTTACTTATACTTATCGAGGTTATTGCTGTGGTGTTATGTTGATTGTGTTGCTCTCCTTTTGCTTGTTTTCTTTTTTTTCTTTCAACAGGTGATCCAGCTGATTTGTTTTTTTAGTGTCTTCTCTCACTGTCCCTCTTCCCCTCTGTTTTTCTTTCCCTCCCTTTCCTATACCCCAGTCATGTCTGTCCTGCCTGTAATAACTTAAATAATTAATAATAAATGTTTCATTTGATTACATTTTATATGATGAATTATGCAGAAAAAGTAGAATTGGGCTGTAAGATCTATTGCTTTGTTACCTATTCAAGTTGTGTATCATGTTTTTAAAAAGTAACTAAGTAACTAAGTAACTAATTACTTTTGAAAAAAGTAATCAGTAAATTAACAGGATTATTTTTGGAAGTAATCAGTAATTAGTTACTAATTACTTTTTTCAAGTAACTTGACCAACACTGGTTGCCACATACTGTAGAGTAATGTAGGAAAATTGCTTCCAGTAGTCTACTGTAGAATAAATGAACCACACAATAATCTGATCTGTGGTATTATCCTGTAAAGTAGATTACACTACAAGAGCTGAGAGTAGGCCATGGTATCATTAGGATAACACAATGAAAAACAATACAACAGTAGAAAAAATATTAAATTAAAAGCTACACACAGCAAAATGTTGCCTGTAGTCAACTATAAAGGCCAGTAAATACAGAAATATACTTTAATTTAGGCCATGAAAATATTACCATACCAGAGTGCAAAATACATAACAGTAAAAGAACTGTAAATTTAACAGCAGCATACTGTAAAATGTAGACAATACAATTATGCATTATGATTAAGGACATGGTTTTATCACACTAGTGTAGTGTAATATATATAACAGTAGGAAAACTGTAAAGTTAACTTTAATACTGGCAATCATGCTGCTAATAGTCAGGAAGATTATAGCAATTTACTGTAATCGAGAGCATAGTTTCATTACAGTAACATATTGTACTATACAATATATACTTGTATGAAAATTGTAAATAGGACTATTTATTTTTCCCAGTGTATTTATTTTTTATGTTCTTACAGTTTTACTACATGGCAATCAGTATGCATGAAAAAATAGAAGCAAACAAAGACAGTAAGCTAATATTTTACAAATGTTATTTTATAAATGTAAAATAATTTTATTGGAAAGCCAGTCTCATACAATTAATATAAAGTCAGTGTAAATATAAGAAAAAAATAAGTGAAAATCTGTGAAAGACATCGGAAAATGAACACACACTGTTTCTGCCTCAAGTAAATGAATGTATGTCTGTGTTGTAGGTAGATTATCTTCAAAATCATTACATTATTTTAACATTATTAACAAACTGATATTAAATCAGTGGCTAATATGGCTACTTCTATATAGTTTAACAGTTTGTGCACCCTTACAGTTAGGTGCAACTTAGCTTAACTGAGTGTTGAATATTATTATTTTCCAGCCAATCAGAAACAATGTGGCTGCGTATTTATCTTTAACCACGACTGTTATAAAAAAAATTCAAGATGAGGACGGCCAAACTGTTAAAATTAGTGTTAACATCCTTCTTTTGTACACAGCCTATGACTTTTTTTAAATAGCTGTGGACACAGAATCATAATTAATGTCGCTTCAGTGCCATCGTCACACTGAACGTTGCAACATCAGTAAAATGATCACAAATTAGAAGAATTTGCCTCAAAATGAAATCTAAACACGTACAAGACCGTAAACTAGCTGACAGCAGATGGGCTAACCCCTTTCCTCCATCGTCTTACTATGAACTTTTGCTTTCTTTATATGACTATACGACGTATATATGACTATATGTATGACTATATATATATGACTTTCCCCATTTTTCCTCTCCCTTTCTTTGTATTATTATGATCTAGACATGACACCAAAAATGCAATGTCAGATATACCAAGTTTAGACAGAACCAAGGGACATCCCATTTGGGTCATACATTTGCCTGAAAGGGCTAAATATGGTTGCAGTGTACCCACTAAGCAAACATAGATGAACTGTACTGTATGTTACAGATTATAGGTTCAAAATATCCAAAATATCTTTCCAGCTGACTTTAAGGAGCTATTAAAAGTATTTAGTGAAATTAAGAAAGACTGAGGAATGAAAACCGCCTGCAGGAACATCAGTTTCTCCCACTGTTATCTCGGAGGGGGCCCTCTCCCACGGCCTCGACCCGGTCCAGCACCTGGACCTGGTCCAGGTCCTCTGGGTCCAGGTGGCCTGCTTACTGGCCCTCGAGCATTAGGGTTGGACGACGCTAGAGCCACATCTTTCTGCAGGTTAACACCTTTACCAGCTGTCCCGGGTTTTGTCTTTGTTGGTTTTGGTTTTGGTTCTTGCTCTGGTGGTTTTTCTGTTCAGAGAGAGAGAAATGGTTATTGTCCACGTTGTAGTCTAATCGGAGTTATGCTTTGAAAGTCAACGCTATCATCAGGATGTAGTTCTGACCAGGCTCTGGTGGAGCAGGGGGAATGAGGGATCGGTTCGGTAGAAGGTCCTCCAGGTCTTTCATGACCTGGTTGGTGGTGTCTGCATTGTTCCTTCGATTCTTCTCTTCATCGCGAGCCTGGATTAAAAAATAGAGTTAGGCACAATAGTTTTGGAGGTTCTATTAGATGCACACGATATATTGCTAAGCCTGGTCTTCGAGTATGATATGCTATAAACAAGAAAAGTTTGGGAATTCCAGCTGGCTTGTTCATTGAGCAGATCTTTATGTGCCCTGAGGTGAAAATGAATGTCTCTACCAAACATCATGACCACTATCACTTGCTATGATATGATATTTTAACCTGTGTCTGACATTTCTGCTAAAAAGGTATTAATCCTATAGTTTATGCAGTTCTCAGCTCTAGAGCAAGAGCCCTATTCAGCACGTGTGCAGAATGAACTTTGGAGTTTTTCTACACACCATCTTCATCTTTTTCTTCAGCTCCATGTTGGAGTTTTGGTATGCCTCGGATACTGAGTTCAAATAATAGATGGCGAGTCTGTGAAAGAGATAGGACAGGATTAATTTTCTTTCTTAGTGGCTTCAAATGAAAAAGTGGGATTTTGAGTAATTCTACACCTGCATGTAGGCCAGAGTGTGGTTTTATGAGTGTTTACACTCACACCATGAGAAGTACAGCTGGTATAATGAGACCGGGGTTAGCTGCATAGCTAAAGAGTGTTCCCATGAAGGCCGGCAGGTCCAGGTCAATCGTCTCCATGATTATGTCAAACATCTTGTCCTTTCCACTGCAAACAATAACTTACTCGCTGCATTTCATAATAGCAATATAATAGCACTTCATGTATCTTTTTTTTGGATTAATATCTGTGCTTTTTATCACCTGAAAGGTCCACAGTCAAACGAAGGTGGCAGCGTCATGATGGTGTAGACAACAGGTAACAGGCTAAGGAAGAGCACGAGGAGCAGGAGACCCATGTAGAAGTTGTTGGACTTAGAGGCCTTGAAAACTCTCTCGTGGGGGACATTAGTGGCCATCACAGCCCAACACTGATAGTACATGGAGCTGAGGAGGCGGAGCACATTGATTCCCACCAGCCCGGGGGCATAAAATGCACCCATCCTTATATCAAAAAGGATCAAGTGAGCAGGTAAATACCAAAACAAGATTGATTTACCACCAGAAATAGGTCAAATTTAAAAACACTGAGTAGGAAGAAATATATTATAATGATCACAAAAATGGTTTCTCAGCTTTTGAGTGGCTCGATAAATGCAAGGGTTGCAGGTCAGTGTACATGACGCTCACAGGTAAAGTAAAGTTTGTACCAAATCATGCCTTGATTGAAGACCAATCCAAGAACATTTCCACTGATGTCAAACTCGCCGTATGATGGCTGAAGTGATCAGAGACAAGTATTAGTTTCACAGCAAAACAGACTAGTGGGCCATAATATTTTTCAGCTAAATAAATTAATATAAAGGCACCAACTCTTGTCAAGTGGCCATGTCCCTAACTCCAGTATCCAGATGGATGAGTTATAAAAGAAATCATGAATCTTTTTGAAGGATGAAATTATCCAAAGAATGTTAAAATCATTTTTGGGCGTAGCTGTAACCATGTGTAGTTGGGTATCATACATGGGCGTCTGGATTCTGTCTCAATTGGTCATTTATAGGAAGTGCAGTTATTGACCACTTACCTAATCCAATCAGACTTTGTTATAATCATTGGTAGAATGGCTAATAGTGAATCATTCTACAAACTATCTACTAGAATGAATGCAAGAATACAATTTTACATAATTTTACATCAAGTTTGGTTTCATTTTGAGCCTGGCTCTTCCAGACGTTTCTTCCTGTTAAAAGGGAGTTTTTCCTTCCCACTGTTGTCAAGTATTTGCTCAGAGGGGGTCATCTGCTTTTTTGGGATTTTCTCTGTATGATTGTAGGGTCATAAAGCACCTCGAGGGGGCTGTTGAATTTAACTGAAACCTCTCTTAAAGTGACAGTTTTTTTCAGGCAAATCCCTCAACATTCATGAAACTACCAATAGTACCAAGGACACTAGCAAAAAACACAACTAGAGAAAAATCCATTTGGATGGATAAGGTGAGAGCCAGTGTTTATGACCACCACCTGCAAGAACATTACTTTTATGGGGAAGTTGTCTTTTTGTTTTCACCTCTACACTTGTATTTTTTTTTCACATTTATTGGTTTATGATGGTTTTATAAACAATGCTTCATAATTCCTAACCAGAGAGATTAATATTTTTGAAGTTTAACAGACTTTGTGTTTTACTGTGATAATCAAGTGTCTTATCAATTTTTGTTGAGCAATGTTTCATCAAAGGTTTCATCAAATGCTTAATTCAAATATCCAGTGTCTGGTATTCCTAAATGAAATCCATGTTATTACATGTTGTTTTTATAGAAGACATATTTACATCTCATGAAAGCAACAGGTGTGACTGAATGACTGCTTGATTCCATTTGGTCCTAATTTGAGGCTCCTCTTGTGCACGCTGGCTCAACATGCTATAGCTCACTTTATTAAATGTGAAATGTCCCCTGGGTAAAATGCCTCTTCCACCTCAAAAGTTACTACAATGTCCACAGATAAGAAGGGGCTGTGGAGTGTTTATATTAATTTAATTAAGAGACTTACAAATCCAGCCTCCAGGTCCCAGCACCAGCAGTAGTTAAGGAAACGTACAATCACAGCTCGGGCAAAGTCACCAATCAGGATGGTTAGGTAGGACACCTGGATGTCTGACACGGTCAGCTTCACAAACTCCTGGAACAGCACAGTTATACATAAATTTTAACACTTCTAATTCGTGCCGTTAAAAAATTCACCAATTTTTTGGCCATATTTTTTTTTAGGTCAAAATTCTCCCGCTTTCCTGTTAGCCTGTTAGTTTTCTGTGGTTGTGGTTTTACTTGTGATTGAGATGTTTATTATAAATGAAAATAAGTTGTCATTTGTACAATGCCCACTGCAGTCTCCCAGCATGGTCCTCTAATGACATCAGCTGGATCCATTGGAGGCGGGGTGGCTTCTGAGTCATTCATCAGACGTGAGTAGTTGGCGTAGTACTCCTTCATGGCCCAGATGGAGGCGTTCTTTATGGACTGCTCTTCCTCCAGCTGAAGGGAACAAAGAGGATAATCAGTCAGTAAATTTTCACACGGCGGACGTATTGTTACAATTACATGGGTATATAACTCAAGGCCACTATAATGGAACATAAAAACATAAAATGTTTAACCTTTTCATGCATAGTGGTCACTACAGTGGACAGCTATTCAAAAGCTGTTTTCTTGTATTTGTGTCAGTGTTGATGATATACTTGCACATAAACCACTACATTGGACACTGATGTGTCACTCCATACCCTGCCACTCACTGATCGTTTAGTGTTACTATAGATGTATGACGTGTTTCATTGTAATTATTGCTATTTAACCCTGTCATGCATGAATTATGACAACCCCAATCAGGATTTTTTCTTAAGTATTTTTATGCACCGTTTCATGCCTAAAGATGAATAAAAATACTTAAGAAAACAATCCTGATTGAGGTTGTCATAATTCATGCATGAAAGGGTTAAACTCAGACTTTGTAGGTGTTTATTCAAATATTAGCTCATTTTGAATTTGACAGCAACATGTCTCAAAAATATTGGGACAGGGGACAAAAGGCTGGAAAATTAAGTGGTGCTATACAGAACAGCTAATTAAGTTAACTGGCAACAGGTCAGTAACATGATAGGGGTAAAGATAGGCAGACATTGTCCATCCATCCGCTTCCGCTTCTCAGGGTTGCGGGGTGAGAGGCAGGGTACAGCCTGGACAGGTCACCAGCGCAGGGCTAACACATAGACGGGAGACAACCAATCGCCCTCGCTTTCACACCAATTTAGTGTTTCCTATTAACCTTTTCCCACCCTAGATGAGACTTTATTGATCCCATGGCGGGGAAATTTCTGCGTTACCTCAGCTCAGCTAATGGATTCTAATGACTAAGGGTGTACACATTCAACCTTTAGAAATCCAGACAAAATAAATAAACAAGAAGAGTCTATAAAGTTTTGCTAGAGACCCTTAATTGGAAAAGATTCTCATTCAATTAAACAGTTTGCAATGTAGATGATGTACCCTAATGTTTATAATGTGCAATATTTATTTATTTATTTGTACAAACTGCAACAGACAGAAAAATAAAATGTAAATCTTTACATGAGAGGTAAATTCTCAACATGACCAGTGAATTTCAGTAACATATGTAACTATTACTATGTCAGTGTGTTTCTCTACAAGGTTCAACTTTGGTTCAACTTTACCATAACAGAGATAAACGTGCTACTGTCTAAGTGGACAAATTAAATGGAGACAACAGCTGCAATACCTTGGTGTTGACCTCATCAAACAGGGCGAACAGAAACGTGTAGAGGTTTCCGAGGAAAAGGGCAAAGATGCGTCCGAGCTGCCATTTGAGGGCGATCCGAGGATGGTAGTCCTCCAGCTCAGCAATGGTCTCAAACAGAGGTGGACACACCAGGCCCAGAAGAGACATGACAATCTCCATCTGAAAAAACAGTCAAAATTATTCATAAGCTTTTTTAAAAAAAATCTTCATCATCTTTACATGAACTGAGGTGAAGTATTCAACAGCATTGTGAGTCTGACCATTATTACCTCATTCTTCTCATACCAGCTGAGGTCGTCCCTTGTGGCAAACTCCTGAGATCTCTTCACCACAAAGTAGATGAGGTACCCACTGCCGCCGAGGCTACAGGTGATCAGGAAGTTAGCCAGGACTCTGAGGAACCTGCGCAGGTGGATGTTCTCGTCCTTCTGGTTCTCCTGCTCGTCCACAATGGACTCCTGTTCTTATCAAAACATGAGGGGAACTGACTGTCAGTAAAGCACTTTTTTATTATAATGAGCAGTTCTAAACCCTCAAATAACTAAGCTATTATAGAGACTAAAATCACAGATAAGGTCATTTATGATGCTATTATATTTCATACAGGAATACAATTTTTATTGGCCTTATTCATGTTTATCCTCACTGTTTACTTTATCTGTGATAGAGCTAAAATGTTCTCATGTCATTAATTATTGTTTTAAATTACATTAATGCCTAAAGGCTTCACCAGCAGTAAATCTTGCTAATCTGGGTCTGTTAGCCAAGGATCGCTACAAAACATTATAAACATCAGAAGCTGTAAATTATAATATAATAATATGTAATAATATGATATAAAATAACATATACATATAGTTTGCACAAGTTTCCTTGTTAGACCTATGGGTCAATTCCTGTAAAAACTGCAAAAATATTGTAAATGAAGTAGATTGGATGTTGTATATATTCCATATTGAGCATCCCAAAGGCTTTAGGATTGTTCTGGTTACCTTGAAACTGGTGGTGATGGAGGCGTACTTGTTGTCAGCGGTCTCCGCATTGCCAATGAGGTAATCCCAGCTGGTGAACATCTTCCAGGCGAAGGTGAAGTCTGAATCCTCCCCATCTCCACCACCAACATCAGCATTTTTGGCCATTCTACAAGCAAAGAAAATAAAAATACCATACCTACTAACTCATCTTCAGTTTCTACATTATTTAATGATGATGATGTAATTTATAGTTAAAGACATTTTTTCGCAAACTGCTCGCCGCTTTTGGATAAAAAGCAAATAAATGTATCAAAATATATCCCTGCATACATCCGATTTCTTAACTCTGCAATGAATCTGCGACCACCTGGTTTGTGATGTATGTGACTGAACTGGCACGCATCCACGCATGTACTGTACACTCACGTGCGGATCACAAGCATCAGGCTGTAGCCGAAAGTGCCAATGCCGACCATGAGGTAGGACAAAGGTAGCCTGAACTTCAGCACGCCGACGGTCCTCTGGTCGTTGTAATATCCGTAGAACAGCACTGAATATTTGCAGTACCCCTGAGAATGGAAGAAATGTCATTTTGGATGCCATGCTTTCTCACTTATCTTCTTGCCTATAGATCCAAAGGGGTAATACTGAAAATAGCAGTAATTTAAATGACGAGTTGCTCTGCCAGAGATCTGTCAGTTATCGTGTGCCTGTCTGTGCCAGGTGGTTTTCAATATATATTATAATATATATATTAAAAAAAAACTTTTCTAACTCTTCAGATCATTATGAGTGCTCAAACACAGGAAAAGTGAATATTCATTCCAACTCAAGTGAATTTGCTTTAGCTAAAACATCTTTGATGGATCACCAAAGGTTCCTGCATATAGAAAAAGAAAATCACGCAAACACATGCGTTCAACGGCAGCACATTTACAACAGCCTCACAGCACACACAGACTTATAGGACACACACGCAAGCCACGCTTGTTCATATTAGTGAATATACACACACATAGTCAGACTTATGGAGCCTCTCTTTCTATTTACAAACAAGTGATGTTTCCACATTCTCTTCACCTGTCTAAATGAAACACCCAGCCTACATCATTAGACATACACACACAATTATGGGCACACTAAGGTTTGTCACATGGAATGTAAATGGAGCTGGCACCAGAGAAAAAAGGTTAAAGATATTTAACCAGCTTAAAAAACTACAGGCAGATGTTGTTTTATTACAAGAGACTCACAGACCTGTCACAGGTTTAAACGAACTTAAAACACCTGAGTTTCCTAATGTGTTTGCAGCCTGTTATAATTCTAGACAAAGGGGAGTAGCAATTTTAATACATAAAAATGTTAATTTTACAGTACTCGATACAGTTATAGATCCAGAGGGTAGATTCCTAATTATTAAATTATCAATATTTAACAAAAAGCTATGTATTGTAAGTATATATGGTCCAAATGTTGATGAACCCTCATTCTTCCACGGATTTTTTAGTGCACTCTCTGAACACCTTGATTGCACACTCATTCTTGGAGGCGACCTCAACCTTGGACTAAATGAAGAAATGGATAGGCTCAACACAACAGGAACTCAGCGCAATTGGCAGTCCACAAATATAATCAACATATGAGCCAAGCTATGTCTTTGCGATGCATGGCGCTCCCTTCACCCCACCAGTAAGGAATATACTTTTTTCTCGACATGTTCATCACTCTTACTCTCGTCTGGATTATTTTTTGGTCAGCAGCTCACTGCTGTGTGACATTTCAGACACTGAGATTCATCCCTATAGCTGTCAGCGATCATGCTCCTGTATCTTTAACACTAATGCACAAAGAAGAACACTACGCCAAGTAAAAACTGGAGATTAATATCATCACTCTAAAGATGAAGACTTTATTAAATATTTAAAAAGAATGGACTTCATATTTAGACTTAATGACACTCCCGGAAATCAGCTTCTGTTCTATGGGAAGCAGGGAAAGCTGTGATGAGAGGTAAAATAATTTCTTTCTCATCACACAAAAAGAAAGAAGAAAACAAAAATATTCAGGAATTAGAAAAAAACATCAAATCACTAGAAGAAGCCTACGCGTGCAACCAAGATCAGGAAACATTGAACAAAATATGCAAAACAAAACTAGAATTAAATGAAACTTATTAATAAAAAAACACAATTCCTTATACAAAGACTTCGCTTGCAGAATTTTGAACACAGTAACAAATCAGGTCGATTTCTAGCTAACCAGCTAAAAATAAATAAAGAAAAAACAACTATATGTGCTGCTAAAGATGTTAAACACAATATATGACCCTGGAAGAATAAACAACATTTTTAGGGATTTCTATGAAACTCTATATTCACCACAAATAAACCCATCTAAAAATGAAATTGATCAGTTTCTTGACAACGTAACTCTTCCAAAATTACTAGACAGTCAAGCAATGGCACTGGATTCACCACTGACGCCAGGTGAACTCCAGGAAGCCCTGATTAGTATGCCTAATAATAAGGCTCCAGGTCCTGACGGCTACCCTGCAGAATTCTACAAAGAATTCTGGACAATTTTGGCACCAGTATTCCACAGAATGTTGCAGGAAATCGAGGAAAATGGCAGACTACCACCAAATATGAATTCTGCCAACATTAATCTCCTGCTAAAACCAGGCAAAGACCCTTTATTTCCCTCAAGCTATCGTCCAATATCCCTTATAAATGCAGACCTCAAAATAATCTGCAAAGCTCTCTCAAAAAGATTAGAGAAGATAACCCCCCTCTTAATTCATCCTGACCAAACTGGTTTCATAAAAGGTAGGCACTCACAGCTCTGGCACTCATCAACAAACGCACGTAGATTACTTAATTTAATAGACCACTCATGCAGTAAAAACATTGAAACCACAATATTATCTCTAGATGCAGAAAAAGCGTTTGACAGAGTTAAGTGGAAATTTTTATTTGGTTTTGGAAACTCTTTCATAAACTGGCTAAAAATATTATATAATTCCCCAACAGCTTGTGTCAGAACAAATGACCAGACATCCTCCAGCTTCTGTCTCCTGAGGAGCACCAGGCAGGGATGCCCACTCTCCCCTTCACTGTTTGCAATTTTTATCGAACCACTAGCAGCAGCATTTAGACAAGATACACCATAAAATGTAAGAACGTAGAACATAAAATCAGTCTCTATGCGGATGATGTGTTGCTTTTTCTGCAAAACACACAAACCAACCTCTCTGAGGTAATTACTCTAATAAACTGGTTTTCAAGAGTTTCAGATTATTCAATTAACTGGTCAAAATCTACAAATACCACCAAGTGCGGTACATTTTTTTACTCTTAAATCCCCTAAATTATTATCTAAAATATACAGAACACTTTCTAAAATAGATGAATCAATATCACTTCCTATTGCAAAGTGGGAAGCAGATTTGTCAGTCGGCTTAGACCAAAACTTCTGGTCTCAGAT